GGAGTCCGCTGAGACCCTGGTATGAGCATTAATGTTTTTTTGCTAACATGTACGCTAGTATTATATATTTCATATACTAAAATATCTTATTATTTTGTAGGTTACTGATGGCCTAACAACCATTTCTACTAAGCTTGCCAGCCTTATTGACGATCATGCTACAGCGCATCCTCCGATAAAGAGGCGACATGATGAAGATGATCCTGATAGCATAGCCGGGAGGGATGGTATGCGCCTCAGGCCAGCGAATGCTTTAAAGCATACATGTTGTGGGACTAGGGCCTAGATTATGATGCCCTCGGTCCGGACGGATGCGTACAAGATGTTGACGAAGAAGACGAAGACAATGACAATGAAATAGTGCCAGACAGTGATGATAATGGCGAATGAAAATCGATATTTATTTGTTGGAGTTATTTTTAATTGTTGTATTGAATCTTCAATGATAAATGTCAATTAGATTTAAGCCTATTGAAAATTTAATTTTATTTCATAAATATTGCAAACAACACCATTACATACATTTAGTACAACAAAAATACTGCAAGAAAATACTAAGTTTATCCTTGAAAATTGCGCACATTGGATGAACTGCCACCGGGAGATGAATTACCACCGCTTCCCAAACCAACTGAAGGACATTTACGGTGATCGTGTCCTGTTTGGGAACATATACCACATTTACGCGCATAAACGGTGTCACTAACATAATCCTTGTTACACACCATTCTAAATGGTTTCGGCGGCCAATAATGCTCAGCACCCACTAGTTGCAATTGTCCACTATAGATGTTTACGTATGCAGCAACATTATATTCTTTATCAACATACCTCGTCGCCGTAAAACATGTATGTTGAAAGCACTTCATGGCATGTAAGCATGGCAAATGATAGATCGACCATTTCCCACACGAACATAATCTTCTGGATCCATTGATAGTGTGGGTATTATTCTTGCGGTTTTGATGCAGACCTGTGCGAACTTCAAAAATATTTCGCTCGTTGCAATACTGCAAAAATGTATGCAACTGTGCCCTATTCCTATATTTCTCAAATCGTTTCATCGGTTGTGGCATAAATTGAACACCCCTTTCCAACAAGGACGATGCACTTCAGGATCTTTCAACAAACCTCTCCGCCATCCACTTGAATGACATCCATACCATGGTAGTGATAGGCAATCCACGGGTAGACTTCAACAACCCGTTGAATGACTCTGACATGTGGTCAAAATTCTCCATCTTCTACCACCATCCTTATGTAAAGTCCACTTATCAAGCTCGTGTCGCATCAACCAACTATAAGCTTCTGGGTCTTCCTGCCTAATCAATTCCATTCGCCTCCTGAATTTACACTCTTGATGATATGTTGCAGCCATCCACATTAAATCATGTAAGCTCTTGTTCGGATGAGCCCGCTAGAAGTTGGCCTTCAAGTACCAAACACAGTAACGGTGGTAGGCATACGGTTCCTACCATGCATCCAAAGTCTGTACATAACATAAAATACCACCATACCGATAAGATATTAGACAAATATATTTACGCTGTTTGACAACGTGCTCCTTCAAGTGGTTCAAAAACCATGTCAAAGTCTCTTGACTTTTATTGGCACAAATAGAAAATGCGAGGGGAAATATGTTTCTATTACCCTACAATGCAATGGCGATCAATATCTTAATATCATACTTTCCATAGACATGAGTGTCGTCTATGGAGATTACCGATCGACAATGCAAAACACCATCAATGGCTGGTTTAAACGCCCAGAACACATATCTGAATATGAATTCTGGTACTCCCGGACTCCGTTCAAGCTTCCATTTAACAATAGTGTCGGGGTTAAAGTGTTGCAAAGCAGCCATGTACCTGGGTAGAGCAGCAAATGACTTATCCCAATTACCATAAACAATCTTAAACGCATGTTTACGCCCGAAAAATGCCTTTCTTTTGGTAATGGTACAACCATGTACCTTGTGGATAAATGTTATACACTCTTTAATCTTGTACTTATGGACGATTCAATGTGTGGAATCAAGACAAGAGAAATTAAGTCAACATTCAAGTTAAAATAATTCCCGCTGAATGTGTCCATATCATAAGTGTGGGTGCCAATGTATTTTCCCACAATCCACATATTTGTTTTTCACTTTCTCGTACGGAGCATCCATCTACAACCTTTAAACCATCTACGACAAATAACCTTATATACTTTCGGAGATGACTCATGAACCTCGATCTCACGATACTCTTTTATGTTGTATATTCGCACCACCCTGCTAAGGCGAGCTTTATCAGCAAACAACATATTCTTTGACAACATCCTTTGTCTAGATTCATCCCACATTGCTGTCCGAATGTCATTAAGATCCCTTATGAGGACATCCACATCCGGCATACTAGGCAACTGGTCAAGGTAGAGAATCGCCCTTGAATGAAAGGACACATGGGACTCGGACACTCTGGGTCTAACTGGAGGTGGAGTATGCATATATGTAACATGCTCATTAGTGGTATCATGGTCCCTCGGTAAATCAGTTGCTCATTCTCATTCTTATCAGCAAAGCGCATTTTCTCATCATCGTCGCCCTCATCAGGGAAGGGTGTATCATCTCCAGACTCATCAATATTGTTGTCATAATCACTATCATCTTTCTGACTCTGTGCATCTGCCAGATCCTGATTAAATATATCGTCTTCGAAGAACTGAGTAATGACAAGACCTTCAAGTTGCTCATTTTCACTACACAACCAATATTTTCTCAAATTCATCCCAACATTATATATTAATTTTATCTCTTAACTCATATTTCATAATCTGTTGATATCCCATGATGCACATTATCGAGTTGTTGATAACTTCCTGATGGACCACCATGATCCAAAATACCAAAATTGGGCATATTCCAACTGTCCGTTGGTTCATAACTTGTAAAATTCATATCTGGCTGGTACCCCCTTTGGAATATATCAGTGTTAGTATGAATATGATACATAAAAAAAATTAAGACAAAAGGAAAATTGAAATTTACCACTCGGCGTATGGATTATGTAAACTTGGGGAGAAATTATATCCCCGCTCCTCATGTGCCCGTAGAGATAAGTTTAGATCTGGCCAAACTCTTTCAAACGGAACCTGTTCGGATACAACTGCTCCAAAAACACCACCCGATGATTGAGGGTTATCCCTATTTTGTGAAACATCAATATTGTGAATGTCTTCAGACCTGACGTACATTTTCAACATTTTTATCACAAGAAGTTCCCGGTGTTCATCCGGAGTCCTCAAAAAATATTTCAGAGTTTCATCGTCTTCGATGTTAAACTCAGCATAACAAGCAACCCCTTGCGGAAAAAGAGAATATGGATATCTTTCGGTTACTTTAATACTAACCGAATGTGTCCTCACACTCATTCTTTTACATATCAACGATACCAGTTTATCGTACTCCAATGTAAGTGGCAACTTAACAATACACTGTGGAGAACAATTCTAGTGTACTGAGTTATTCTCCACGACAACCTCATCCCCCCCCCTCCCTCCCCCCTCCAATATNAATTTTTCGTTCTTTAGACATTATGGCAAAATGCAGAAAAAGTTAAGTAAACAAATATTTCAGAATGAGTAAAAGAAAATAAACCAGACTCCACTTGTGAGATTATATTGGGTTGTTGTTGTAGTAAAGAAAAATAAAAAAGATGCAGAAGACTAACTTTTTCTGAATGGATTTTTGAAGAAAGAATGAAGCTCCTTAAATAATCAAAAACCTGTGCGGGGGTACAATAATTTGAGGGTATAGCGCATTAATTAAAAGCGTTGTATATATAGCGCAGTGAATCTATGCGCTATACCCACCAATTATTGTGGGTCAGTCAATTAAGAAGTACAGCGCATGGGTTGCATGCGCTATACCTTAACGGACAAACGTACTGTTAAGGTATAGCGCATGCAACCCATGCGCTATACATAAAATGATCATCAATTGATTTTTTCACATATTTTTGTGCTTTTAAGTAAAAAAAAAAAAAAAAGCCACACTTTGGTTTCGGACTCCATATATTAGATGTCAAAACCTTTACTGAGCATTTGGACATAAGAATTGTAAAATTTCAAAAAAAAATGACATTTGCGTGGTTATAAAAGCTTCTCATTAAGGGTAAAATGGATAAAATGAAGAGTTTAAAGTTGAATTATTTCCAAATTTAGAAATGTGTCATTTATTTTGGAACGGACTAAAAAGGAAAGTACCTCATCTAATTTGAAACGGAAGGAATAACAATTAAGAAAAAAAATGGGGCTGCTGGAAATGAGCTTTAGAATACTCACGTGTAATATTTATTCTTATCAATTTAATATCTGATATGTGAGTCATCGACTCACTATTAACTCAATCTTTTAAGGGGAGAATCCATCAAGATAGCTTGCTACCCGGGCCCTCAAGTGTTGCCCATACCTTGCACTAGTGCAAGAGCAATAGAGCATGGCGTACCCAACAAGGAAAAAAAGGAAAAATTAACAAAGTTTTTAAAAAAGAATAACATCTAATCTCCGGCCAATTTGAGCACCTCTTCGGAGTAAAAGATACACTAACCTGATCTTCTCTTCGGAGTAAAAGATACACTAACCTGATCTAGAAGATCAGGTTAGTGTATCTTTTACGGGTACATGAAAGCAAATTAGAAGATCAGGTTAGTGTATCTTTTACGGGTACATGAAAGCAAATTCGTCCAAGCAGAAGGCCTAATTTTGAACTGATACTCTATTTATTGCCTATACTCTTTCCTGACCAGAGTCACTAAGAAGGGGCAGGACAGAGCCAATAGTTCATCACTGATGAAAGAACTGAATATAAATTGAGAATCACTAACTAAGAGTACTAATTTATTAGATCCTTGTCAATTATTGCGAAGATTGATCAAATATGATCTCTTAAAAGCCCTTAGGATTGTAATAATTCCATTGTGTACAAGAATAAAGAGGTCGTAAATCACCGCAAGACATCTCAAACGATGATTTTATTTACTGTGATCCAATTGAACTCTCCCCTATCAAATGATTTATCCAAGAGATAGGCAAATCTTGGCTCTGCCTCAGTTACCTTTTAATTCAATTTTTTTTTCTACAAATGAACATGCACAATATACGAGCCCACAAAGAGTATTAAGCAGCATGTGAGTTACACAAATTATTTAAGAAAAATAACTAATGGAAAAAAAACGACAGGGGACACATGACAAATCACAAGAAAATATAAAATGCTTAAGACACTATACACGTACTAGCTTTTCGCACCAACTTGATCTTCCCAGCCACATGTAGGACAACGGTTTTAGGCCTCGTAGCTTCTAGTCCCTCTTTTTCTTGCACTCACTTGGAAAGTGGCTTAGCACAGACACCAAATGAACTTCCAATATAAAATCATTAGCCTTCCTTAGGCCTGATTTCAATCCCTTCAACAACTAAGCCACTTTTCCAGTTACCTTCCTTGATCTCTGTCAAGCTCATCTCCAGTTCAACTTCTTGTCCTCTCTTGACAAAGAATTCTCCCAACTCAACTTCTATCCATCCATCACTTCTCTGTTGCGGGTATCGTGCTTGTGCTTGTGCTTCGTTTTCTGAAGGTCGATTCACTTCCCGCCTTAGGATATTTGCCATCTGGTTCAATAGTCCCAGCCGCCTAGGAACAATTTGGTACATATGCCTCCGTGCTGCCTCTGGATCCAGAAAAACTGTAAGGGATTTCCTTTCATGTCCCGAAATCCCTACTGCACCCTCTGCACTTTGGTGATCAAATCCATAGGTCCTGGATTTCGTTGTGAACACAAAGTATGCTGCATATTTGGTGTCAGGGGATAACATAGAGGTGTTTATCTTGCCGGTAATGTCAAACCAGCAGACTTCAAGAAGCTCAGCGACCTCTGAGAACCTAGTTTCAAAAACATCACATTACATCAACTTGAGAATGACAAAGTGACATCTTATAAGAACCAAGATTCTACTCATATTCGCTTTAGCATAAAAACTTTTATCCTTAGAACTGGACTGCAAAATGAAAAAACAAGTACTAGTCGTCAACTCAAATAAAGAAAAGGTAGAGGAAAAGGATTTCTCTTCTACCCCATAATAAAAGTTACTTGTCAAATGAAATACCTGGACTCGAGAAGGGAGATCCATCTCCAATACCTAGGTGTGTCAGCCCAAACAATTGCAAGTGACTTTGCAGCTAACATGTAACATTTCTTTCCACTGCGCTTCTCCAATGAGAAGCTCTGCATTTCATCAATACCAAGTCAGAAGTAAACTTTGCAAGCAAGAAACAAAATTAATCCCAGCAGTAGTTGCTCAAAGTAGGAAAATAGGAAAAATGAGCTAATCACAATTCACATGTGAACAAAAACACAAAAGCAATGATATCAAAAGTGTAGCTGAAAATACACAATGTGATCAAGGCGATATCCATATGTACTTAAAGAAAATGGTGGGGATCCACACCTATCTACAAGTGGGTAACTGTGGTCCTGTTGCCTTTTTTCTTTTTCAATATTCTAACTTCCTTTGGTACCCAAATAATAAAAGAGGGAAAAGGGGGTAATGGGAACGTGAAAAGGCTTTGATTGTATATCATAAAATGTTAATACCATTCACAAAAGAATTTAAAAGAATATGGTTAGCAGGCACTACTATATAAGGTTCTAACACTGTATTCAACTTCCCATCTTCTGCATCAATGTTGATGTAGCCAATTGCAAACACATCGTCTCTCACACACATGGACTTGACGAATACAGGAACGATATCTGCTTTCAATGAGTTCAAATTACCAAGAACTAGTACATACTTAATGTCTATGTGATCGATGGATCACTTCAATCTTTGAAAGAGAAGATTCTAGGAATAATTTGAACCACTATATTTTCTTCTGCATGTTTCACATCAATATAATTCCCATATTCGATACGTTTCTTTTGGTAATTACCTCACAGTCTGCCAGGTAGTTTTTATATCGTTGAAGTCAGTCTTTAACCTACTTTATTTGCTTGAGTGACACAAGACTCCAAAACAAAAAATGTCACAGCTATCCACTTGTTAAGGAAATGACTAACTATTATATCTTCTTCACTGGTTCAATCCATGTGAGTAAACATATGAGCAAAAATTCTTATTGTTGTTCAAAGTTAACATGTTTTAGAGTAAAAATAGTTTCACAATATATTTCATATTGAAACACACCAAAAGCAATTCCCTCCTGACAAATTCCAAAAACAATTCTCTGAAAATCAAATCCAAACACTCAAAAGAAACAAACAACACTAAGCAAAACTACCAAGGGTGTGGCTTAGTGGTCAATAAAGTGGGTGAGAAACACTAGGTGGGCGGAGGAAAAAAACACTAGGGTGATTTCTTGCCATCTGTCCAAGCCTTAATGCACAGAGTTACCTGGTACCTAGTGGGAGGTGGCAGGGGTGCGCGCAAGCTGGCTTTATCCAAATGAAAACATACTAAGACACAATCAATTGTAGTCCAGACGCTTTGTTTAGAACGTATTCTCTAACTATAACAAAATGAGTAGTGCAAAAATTATTTACACAATCAGATTACTTACTTATCTTGGTAAAAATGGGTAATTAACATGCTCTCACATAATAAGGTAAAAAGATGTTTACGTTGTCGGTGTATATAACTTAAATTCTAACAAGATATTATGTATATATCCGCAATCATTGTTTTCAAAACAAAACAGACCAAAACCAAACTCAGAACAAGATCAAAATCAGTCCTCTCAAAACAAAATCCACACACTTTAAAAAAAAAAAAAGTTACTCCACCAGACGCATAGTAGAATATAATATCCAACTAAAATAACAAGCTTTTTTTGTGTATTTTCTCGATCGCTAATTAATTGAATGCATTTCATTCCGAAATATTCCATCCGAAAAAAATTAACATTTTTTGACTTCTCACACAACGAACAAATAATTCGAGAGTAAAAATTATCATTTCCTACAAAATCAAAAAAAAAAACAGATAACAAAAACACGAACCAGAAAAAAAATAAAATCATATATATCAAATAGTCCATAATGTATGCGATAAATTACCTTAGTGCCACCTTCAATCAGAAAAGGATAATCACAGAGGTAAAGATAAAGCTCTTTCTTCGAACCGAACATAATCGAATCCGGTCCATCACTAGACCGGGAAATAATATCGCGATAATCCGGCGGCAAAAACCGGTCCCAAACGGCATCCGATTCAGCAGCGGACCGGAAAATTGAAGCCACAAGCGATAGCCGACTTGCATCCCTCGGACACGTTAATGATAGAATGTTCGCTATGCAACCTTCCGGCAGGTGGTAGATATCAACGCCGTTGACGGCGGAGCTATTTCGGCTTTCCACCGCCATTGTTATGTACACTTGTGAACCTGATGATCTCTCACTATTTATATGTGTGTGGGTATGAAAGATTAATATATTTTCGTGACGGTAATGGGTAAGATTATGTAAACGGGCGAAAGCAGCTATTTATAGAGATGTGTGGTTGAAAATGACTTCTCTTTTTAAAAAATTAAAATTGCCAGAACAGTTTTACGTGTAGAAAAAAGTGTATGTATTCTTTATTCTTACACGATTTCCTTGCTGAAAATATTTTTCTATGAGAAACTTATAATTTTCTTTATGTAAAATATATTTATTGTTATAAATATATTATATTATGGATGATCATTTATTACTTCGTTGTAAATAAGCTTTCTGAAAAATTTATCCATATGAGACTCCGCCATAAATATGTTTATCTATTTAGTACTCTATTGGAAATAAGCCTCCTGAAAAAGTTTATTATTTCACTACTCCGTTATGGATAAATATTATCCATGGTAGAAGATTATCTATATCTGGTACAGTAGCAGCTTACACAGCATTTTATACATCAGCTTGCAGTAGCAGCTTACAAGCAGCTTACATAGCAGCTTGCAGTAGCAGCTTACACAACAGCTTCCTTTCTTCTATAAATAGAGGGGAATTCAGTTCATTATGTACATAAGTTTGAAGTTTGAATAATATATCAGTTTCTCTCTATACTTGTCTTTACTTTCCAGTCTTTATTTTATAACACGTTATCATCACAAGACTCTGCCATCTCGAGCAAATACTTTGAAAGTATCAGAGGTACGAACTTTCTTTTTCTAAACAATGTCAAATCTTTCTAAACTTGAATTTGTAGCCCTGGATATATCAGGCAAAAGCTACTTGTCTTGGGTGCTTGATGCCGAAATTCATCTTGATGCGATGGGTCTGGCAGACACCATTAAGGATAAAAATCAGGCATCAAACCAAGACCGTGCCAAAGCAATGATATTCCTACGCCATCACCTTGATGAGGGCCTGAAAATGGAATATCTTACTATTAAAGATCCAGTCATACTGTGGAATAATTTGAAAGATAGATATGACCACNCTTGTCTTGGGTGCTTGATGCCGAAATTCATCTTGATGCGATGGGTCTGGCAGACACCATTAAGGACAAAAATCAGACATCAAACCAAGACCGTGCCAAAACAATAATATTCTTACGTCATCACCTTGATGAGAGGCTGAAAATGGAATATCTTAGTATTAAAGATCCAGTCATATTGCGGGATAATTTAAAAAATAGTTATGACCACCTGAAGATGGTCGTTCTTCCACAGGCACGATATGATTGGACTCATTTAAGGCTATAAGATTTTAAATCTATCACTAAGTATAATTCTGGTATGTTTAGAATTATTTTTCAATTAAAATTATGTGGTGATAATATTACTGATCATGATATGTTGGAGAAAATTTTCACCATTTTTCATGCCTCGAATATGCTCCTGCAGCAGCAATATCGAGAGATGAGATTCAAAAAGTATTCTGAACTTATCTTACATCTTCTTATAGACGAGCAACATAATCGGCTATTAATAAAAAACCATGAAAGCCGACCTACTGGTTCTTGTCCATTCCCTGAAGTGAATGAGACGAACTTCCACCAAGCTAAGCGTGGAAGAGGACGTGGCCCCAGTCGTGGTCATGGCTGTGGTCGGGGAAGAAATTCTAATCATGGTAATAATAATGCACCAAAGAACCCTCCTCACCACCAGCAGTGGAAAAGGAAGGAACAAAAGCATGAAGCGGTGTAATCAACAAAGGCAAAAAATATATGTTATAGATGTGGAGGAAAAAGGCACTGGTCACGTACCTGTCGTACGCCAAAGCACCTAGTTGAGCTTTATCAAGCCTGCCTGAAGAAGATAGAGAAAAATGCTGAAGCAAATTTTATTTCTGAAGATAATTTAGACTTCATGCATTTGGATGTAGCTGATTACTTTGCACTCCCAGAAGGAGAAACAAGTCATGTAATCGGTAGTGAATCTGTAGAAATGTAAATATTTTAATTTTTGTTGTTTGTAATAGATAGTATGGTTATGTAATTGTTGTACATAAATAAAAGTTATGCTTTGATAATGATGTTTACTATAATATATTTTATTTATGTCATTTTAAAGAATATGGATAATCCTCAAATTATGTTTGGATCAAAGACCAATCATGAAGATGTTTATGTAATTGATAGTGGAATAACTCATGCCATATTCAAAGATCAGAAAGACTTTTCTTATTTGCATAAGGAAAAAGCAAATGTTTCAACAATTTCTAATAATATAAGTTTGATTGAAGGCTCCGGAAGAGCCATTATATTTATGTCCAAGGGAACAAAACTCATTATCGACAATGCATTGTTCTCCTCCAAGTCCCGAAGAAACTTATTGAGTTTTATAGATATCCGCCGAAATGGGTGTCATGTTGAGACAATAGATGAAATGAACGCGGAATATCTTTGTATTACAAAGAATATTTCTGGCCAGAAATGCATTGTAGAAAAGTTACCAACTTTATCTTCTGGCTTATACTATTCAAAAATTAGTACAGTTGAAGCACACTCTATCGTAAACCAGAAGTTTACGGATTCAAATACTTTTGTGCTTTGGCATGGCTGTTTGAGCCATCCTGGATCAATAATGATGAGGCGAATTACTGAAAATTCGAGTGGGCATCCATTAAAGAACCTTAAGATTCTTACAAATAATGAATTTTCATGTGATGCTTGTTATCAAGGCAAAATGATCACTAGACCATCATCGATGAAGGTTGACATTGAATGCCCTGCCTTTTTAGAACGTATACATGGGGATATATATGGACCTATTCACCCACCAAGTGAGCTGATTAGATATTTATGGTTCTGATAGATGCATCTTCAAGATGGCCTCATGTGTACCTACTGTCATCTCGCAACCTGGTATTTGCAAAGTTACTAGCCCAAATAATTCGATTAAGGGCGCAATTCCCAGATTATCCTAAAAGTGTAATGACCCGGCCGGTCGTTTTGAGAATTTGAGCCCCGATCCCCTAATATCTGCTTTCCCCATATTTGTTTCTACTTTTGGGACTTGCCGGAGTGATTGGTTATGGAATTCAGAGAGTTTTGGGACACTTAGTCTCTAGTTGTGAGTTTAAGCCTTAGAATTTGGACCGAAATCAGAACTATGTGAAGACGGATCCGGAATAGAATTTTGTTGACTCCGTTAGCTCCGTTGAGTGATTTTGGGGTTAGGAGCGCATCCAGAATGTGTTTTGGAGGTCTGTAGTAGATTTAGGCTTGAATTGGCGAAAGTTAGTTTTTCGGCAATTTCGGCCGATAGTGAAAATTTTGATATCGACCTCAGAATGGAATTCCGAAAGTAGTTGTAGGTTTTTAGTGTCATTTGTGACCTGTGTGTAAATTTTGAGGTCATTCGGACTAGATTTGATGTGGTTCGGCGTCGTTTGTAGAATTTTAAATTTTTTAAATTCTTAGGCTTGAATCTGTACTTAATTCATGATTTTGGTGTTGTTCGACGTGGTTTAAAGGCTGGACTAAGTTTGTATGGTGTTTTAGGATTTATTGATATGTTTGATTGAGGTCCCGGGGGCCTCGAGTGTGTTTCGGATGCTTAACGTGTGAAATCTTGGACTTAGAGAAATTTCTGATTTTTGCTGTTTCTGATGTTTTCGCACCTGTGGTGGGGAGTCCGCAGGTGCGGCCTCGCAGAAGTGAGGCTTGGATCGCAGGTGCGCTTTTAGGTTGGGGAGTAAGTGGTCGCAGATGCGACGAGTAAGCCGCAGGAGCGGAGCCGCATCTGCGGAAGGGTAGTCGCAGATGCGGAGGTGAGAAAGACCCAAGGTTCCGCAAAAGCGGACTATTGAGCGCAGAAGTGCATCCGCAGTTGCGGTCTCAAGCGCGCAGGTGCGGACCCAGCCCGGATAAGTGACCTTCGCACCTGTGATGATTTTTTCGCAGGTGCGTGACCGCATATGCGGCCCCATGAGCGCAGGTGCGGAAACCGCTGGGTTGAAGAGGCAGCTTCGAGGGGTCATCCCTCATTTTTCACCAATTCAATTTAGAGCTCGGTGGGAGATGATTTCTCGAGGTATTTTGAAGGAGAACTATTGGGTAACTAATTCTAATTCTATTTTGATCATAATATATTAATCTATTATTGTTTTCCTCGTCTAATTAAGGAAATTGAGGGTAGAAGTTAGGAAATGGGGGAAAAGGTTCCCCAATTCAAAATCTGAGATTTGAATGGGAATTTGACGTCGGATTTAGATAATTTTTGTTCGAGTGAACTCATGAGTGAATGGGTGTTCATAATTTATAATTTTTACCCGATTCCGAGACGTGAGCCCGGGGAGACTTTTTGGGCGTTTTACCTAATTTCACGCTTTAGCTTCGAATTAATTAGTTAAATTAGTTACTTGTAGTTACATTTATATTTTGCAATTACTTTGAATAGATTCGGGCCATTTGGAGTCGGATACTCGTGGCAAGAACGTGATATCGAGTTGATTCGAGCGGTTCGAGGTAAGTGGCTTGCCTAACCCTGTGTTGGGGACTTTCCCCTTAGGATATTTCGATACTATTTGGTGTGTGGGCGCCGTGTACGTGAGGTGACGAGTACGTACACGGGCTGTTATTGCAAAAATCCCGTTTATCCTTTTTAAACCATAAATTGTTTCTCTTATTAAATTGCACTAATATGTTTAATTGTTTAGTTTAGACTAGAAAAGTATGCTTACGTGTTTTAACTGCCTATTTGAAATTCTGTGCGCCATGCTTAGTTAAATCCCTATTTTCCTTATCTGTGCTCAGTATAAACTGTACTCATGCACTTCCCTGCACATGTTTTTGTGTGCAGATCCAGGTGCGAGCTATCAGCCTCGGGGTTAGTGCGTGCTACTGATTTTAGGAGACATCAAGGTACTACTGCTTGTGTCCGCAGATCTTCGGAGTCCCCTTCTACTCTCTCGCCTAGAGACTTTCTTTATTATCTTCAGACTTTTGTATTGACCTACTTAGATTATAGCAGCTTGTGACTTAGTGATATTCCGGGTCTTGGGAAATTATTTTGTAT